AATTACAACTGTGGCAAATAAAAGCTGTACCCCCACCATCGGAATTTTCCGACCTATACATATACGACCGTGCTCTTGACTGTACAGCTAGTAACAATGAAACTGAGCCAGCTCGGGTTTGTATTAGTATCTCCTAGGGGAACAGATTTCAAAATGAGTAATAAGTCTACGTCTTGTTTTTTCAATGGTCGATCTGGCATCGATACTGTTGGATTTTAACATAATTTTGACGCGTCCAAATAAAAGGAATTTTAATGTACGTGGTGGTGATGAGCGTAGATTAAAATTGTTTTTATTTTGCCGCGTCAAAATTATGTTAAAATTCAACAGTATCGATGCCAGATCGACCATTGAAAAAACAAGACGTAGACTTATTACCAGGGTGCGCATAATTTTTCCCTCACGGCTCACTTCCCCTCTTTTTCGCCCGTATTTCGAGCCCCACTACTATTTCCCTCATGCGCCTTCGCTGACCATGCCTAGCATACCCCCATCAAGTACCAGACCCCACCATGGTCGCGTCTTCCCCACTTTCCGGCCGACGGAATAATTATGCGATGCCTGCTTATTACTCGTTTTGAATTTTGTCCAGCTAGAGGAATCTAACATATGCACATAGCTGACTCAGTTTCCGCGTCCAAAGCTGTACTTTGTCCATCAATAGGGTTTTTGGAGTTTTCATAAATTTTCACACATTAGATTCGCCAATTCATGTTATCCTCTCTAGCACTCTTAAACTGTGACCATTTCTTTTTAAATCCGATTCTTAAGAAAAATCTGAAAAAATATCCATGGTATATCCAATTTTGTGGCAATCATGTTAGACTTTTCTTAGGATATCTCAAAACCGGAACTGCAGAAACAATTCCAATCATATTATTCCAGCACTCAGAAGCGAAGACAATTTTTCATAATTCTAATTCTCAACAAATACCAAGAAAATTTCTTGGTATCTAGAAGGAGATCAAAAATATCTTTTGCATCAAATTCCAATAAGTGGACCCATAGAAAAAAATATTCTATGCAAGTAGACAGCTTGCATAGGGAATTACTCATACTTTCGTATCTTCCGCGTACTTTCCACTACAACTTTCAAATAAATGCCTCAAAACTCACAAAAAAGTTCCCTATAACTACCAATAACATTCCTTTTTTAACCCCTTTTATATGAAACTAGGAAAGGGAAATCAGAGGAACGCGTTAAGCAGTCGGGAGAAGCGGATGACGGAAATTTTCTCGTGAGAAATCTCGAAAGGAACGCAGTTCGAGGCGAAGCTATGCGAAGGCGGTGGGTGTGCAGGGTAGCGAAGTGGACCGGGTGTTCCGGGAACGGGCCAGGCCGCGGAATGACGCGGACAGAGTGCGGCAATTTCGTGCGATACCACCGGAATACCGGGCGTCCAGGGAATGCGGATGCCAAGGCATCCCGGCTTTCCCGGCCTAGTCTTCCACGGCCTCGGCGTGGCTCGCTAACATAGTTCCCCCATGTTTCGCTAGAATTTTTTAAGAACTAAATATATAAAACAGTGTAAGCTTTAGTGGTGTAGGTTTACATATACGGTTTATACCAGAAGTGGGGAACGTGTGGCCCTGAGGCCGCATGCGGCCTCCTTGTACGGTTTCAAATGTAATTTATATCCTAATGTATTCAATTACTTTCAAACAAGAAACAAATGCAAATATCCTACTAACTTAAATTTTCCATCAGATTTTGAAATTATTTTCCGTATTATTGCTATTAGTTATTTATAGTTTAATATTATTATTTTTCTATTGTGTTCCTCTATTAAGTAATAAATTTATGGAAAAATTCTTCTACTAATATTATTTAAATTTGTAGTGATATGTCAATATGTAGTTGTTTATTAAAATTTGAAGATCTAGATGAATGTATACAGGGTACGGACTAGTGGTACATATTTTAATGGGAGATTCTTGAGGTGATTTTAAACAACTTTTTCCTTTGTCAAAGAGTTGTCCAAGGCGTGGTTATTGAGTTATTAACAAAAATCCCCGACTAATCAGAGCGAGCATACACGGCGGGCAGGAGCGCGGCAGCCGCCTCGTGCGATGCCGCGCTCGTGACGAGAGTATAGGTTTAAAGAAAAGTTGCATGCAAAAACTAACTAATAAATTGGTTAAATATTAGAGGAAAGAAAGCGATTAATCGTTACTTACGTTCACTGAACAGATGTACAATACTCAATGAAATAACTAAT